GGCGTCTATTTTTTCTGGTCTTGCAGATACTGTTAGTTTGTCATGATTGGTATCTATAAAAAAATAAAGTAAACATTATTCAGTACAGAGTTTTATGAGTGTAGATCGTATTATTTGTTTTTTTATTTATACAATTAAAAAAATAAATAAAATTTATCCTGAACCAGTAGCTAAAAACGTATTTCCAATGTTAACGTGTTACTTAAGAATATTTGTATAGCTAGAAAAGCACTACTTACCATCACAGTGCCTGGCCAGAAGATCAAAAATTTTTTTCCTTCTAGAACTCATATTTAATTTGTTTACGTTGCGCAAACTCGATCACTATACACTAAGAACTGCTTTAAACTGAGGTAATCTGCGTTATTCGTGTACGGTGGCGCCTTGAAATGCCTAGATTTCTAACAAGTCGAAACCAGTACAGTGCAGAACTAGTTTATGTCCACTAAAAGATGTGAGGGTTTATTAAAATTATAGATCAGAATAAGCCTAAGTCCACATTTTCTTGGACATAAAATTTTGTTTCAAAGTAGAACTAGCTTAAGTCCACACAATTCACTAGTATAGGTAATCTGTCCCAACAAAGGATACTTCTGCATTAAAAATTATTTACCCAAATATGGACATAGAATTTCTGTTCTAAAAAAGGATAGTTCTGCACTAACAATTATTTTGCTTCAGGACATAGGCTTATTCTTAATTTAATGAGTACGTGAAAAATATAAACGTTAGGACTTAGATTAGTACTGCACTTGATAGGCGACACCTTACTGCATCATATAGTCTAAAATCTCAATTTTGACAAAAATGGACATAGGCTAGTTCTGATCTAAAGGGACGACATATTTTAGATAGTAGATGCTGCTTTGCGTAACTTTGTAGTAAATTAGCACAATTCGATGTGTATACGATTGGTGATGGATATAGGATCATGTGGGGGTGGGGTTTACCCACGTTTCATCAAGGTAATAAATCTTCCTGTTTTGATTTCTATATTTCCCAATTTTTGTTAAATAATCCCTCCTATGGAGCACAATTTCTTCTCTATCCAGTAGTAAACTATTACGACCCCGTTTTTTCCATTTGAAATTTAAATGCTTCAGTAACGCATGGAAAGTTGATCGTTTGAAATTTGGCAACGTTGTATCGCCATTTAACTCCTGCAGTACTTTATCTATAGTAGGTATTTCATTCCTAAAGAATAATTCATGCACTTTCCTCCTAATCGCATGCTTATCAGCTTCATCCAATGATTTAACAATACTTTTGCGATGTTTACTGGTCATTGGCTCAGAAAAGGTGTGATTTTTTTTGTATTGTCTTAACACATTAAACACTGATGCGCGACACACCCCAACTTTGTGAGAAACCTTCACAACAATTTCTTTGATGGTTGATGCCTCGTTCTCCTCGCGCTCGATCTTATACAGGGTGACTTTGAAGTTGAGTCATTAATTTTCAGATAATGATTGTAGAAGGAAGATAAACCAAAATATGTGTGTAAAAATAAAAAAAAAATAAAAAAAAATTTTTACCTTGTTTTATAAAGTATCCTCCCGACAAGTATTTCAGTGCGGACCTGTATTTGATCGTGAGGTCCCCTGTGAGGTCTTAAGTCACCTGATTCACAAGCCCGTTGTACTACATTAACAAAGGCACGAGGGGTTGGTTGCACTCGATTGGGAAACCGATCCGCATAAACATGTGCCATTGTTTATTTCGTTTGAGCCACGCAACACATACCACGATTCACTGACACTAACTGTATACAAATGAATGAGATACCTGTAAAAACATCGTTCCAAATTCTTTCGCTTTTTTGTTTCCGATGCGATGAAGCGATACGGCGGATTATATCCATTGTCGCCAAACACGACCACATAATATTGTTATTGAGACAGGGCGGTACTCAAACTTCCAAAGGGCTATAACTTTGTTACTTTAATTTTACCAGGAAAATGGTAAAGGAAAAAAACATTTCTTTTGATCAGATCTACTCACTGTTAAAATAAATGACTCAACTTCGAAGTCACCCTGTATATATTCAAAATGACCTCTTTCATTTCTGCACTCAGGTGTCTTTTTTTAGAGCGTTTCCTAGGTGGACTGCAGGAGTTTACAACTTCACAAATTGGGTTAAAACAAACCTAATTTAACATACACAAAGTTTGGATGGCTAATTGCAGGGCCATTGCATACAAGTTCTAATGAAAATAGTGCTTACTTTTTTATTCAGGAGAGTGATTCAATCTCAGATGATGAATCAGTTAGAAAATTTTTGGGACGACTCAGAAAACACGCCCATGTTATCAAAGGAGGAACAGTATATTGTAAAAATCATTACAGACACATAAATACGATAGCACAGGTCATTTAGAAGTTTAATTGCCAATGAAGGATTTTGTGTCTTTTTCTGATAATTATGAGTTAGCCATTTCACATCATATGGAACATTTGCAAAGTTTATACAGGAATTTCATGTCATAATCTGTCCGGATAGGGCTCATGTCCAAGGTTTTAGATGATGTCTATGATTCTAAGTTAATATATTTTTTGCCACATCATGCTGTTCTGAAGGAATCTAGCACTACAATAAAATTACATGTGGTATTTGATGGCTGTGCAAAGGAACCAAACAGTTAAATGATGTTTTATATCTAGGGTCAGTTATACAAGAATCATTATTTTGCGATGCTAAGTAGATCTTGTAAACATATGTATGTAGTGAAGGTTAAGATGTATAGATGTGTTAATGTGAATCCCAATCATAGAAATCTGCAGAGAATTTTGTGGCATGATACAGTTGATGATGATATAGCTCAAAATACATTAAACACTGTAACTTATGGTGTCAAGAGTTGCACATGACACAATTAATGATTTTCCAATTGCATCACAGGCAATACTTCTGGATTTTTATGTTGATCACTTTGTATCAGGCGCAGATTATTCACATGAACTCACTCAATTAAAGACAGGTGTTTCACAAATCTTATAATTAGCCCAATTCATATTGACAATCGATGCGTAATCATTCTGCTTTGCTCAATGATCGTGAAAATAAGGCAGTTTTGTTATTACTTCAAAAGAAGATAAGTCAGTCAATACTTTAGGTATTTTGTGGAATCATAAGGTCGATTCATTTCAGTTCACATGAGACTTCAAGCTCAAAGGTCACTTATTAACCAAGCGAGTTATATTCTCACTCATTAGTCAGCTCGGGCTAGTATCTTCAATTGTGATCAAGGGTCTTCTTCAATGAGTTACGGGGATTGTATACAGGGTGTTTCAAATTCGACCCTCACCATTGGGATCTCTCCGAAACTTTAACACATACGAAGTTGCTTAAATGGTGGCAAAAATGCGTATATAAGTAATCAACAAAATTCCGCTTAGAAAGTTTGGAAATTCAAAGCACTTTCGCAAAGAGACGGAACAAATCGAATTTTCTCAAAATGGCTTTAATTTTTTTACTGTCTAGTTGTAGTGGGATTTCAAAATAAATTGTTCTTCAACATTGGCACTTTTTCTCCTTTACAAGATGGCATTAGAATTCCAATATGATGTTTCGTCTCTTGTCCTTCAGCATCAACTTTATTTTTCCTTATGGACACCATAATGGATTTTCAGGCCAATGAATTTGAGTTTTTAATTCTGATTCCAAAAATATAATACGTCATACATACGCCAAACCTTAGTTATTCCAGAAAAACAGGATTTCCTAGGTAGGCCTTGAAATTATCAGATTTCATTTGTTTCGTATACCAGACAAGACCTTAAGTTGAACATAGCAACAGAGTTTGGAAAACTGGGAAGAAGATAAATTAATCGAGCAGTGAACGATGTACAGAGAAGGGTCAGGCTTTGCCTACAAAGTAAGTGACATTTTGAACTTCTGCTACGATTTACCTCTGCTTATTTTTTATTATTATTATTACCTTCAATCAAATTTTCATGTTGTGTTCAGGTTCCACCATACATTTTTATTTCCTTATAATTTTCATCCAACAATGCATTTAGGACTGAAAAGTCCATCTAAATGTACAAAATTCCAATATAGTTTCCATATGGATAAAGTCGGTGATGGAAATCGAAAGAAAAAATGTTGTCTACACCATCTTGTAGAGGAGACGAATAAGTAACAACGCCAACATGTAATTTATTTTGAATTCCCATCTCAAATGAAGTCAGGAAAAATAAAAGTGGTTATAGGATAAATCTGGTATGCAAAACAAATTACTATCTGATAATTTCAAGACCTGCCTAGAAAATCTAATATGCCCTCCATAATAGAAAATAAAGTTGATGCTGGAGGACAAGGGACTAAATGTCATATTGCAATTCTAAATATGCCATCTTGTAGAGGAGAAAAAGTGGTAATGTTAATGTGCAAGTTATTTTGAAATCCCACTACAAATGAAGTCAGGAAAAAATTGATACAAGTTTGGGAAATTTGGTTTTTGAATTTAGAAACTTTGTAGGCGGAATTTTATGATTAAATAAATTCTCAACTTTACTCCCATTTAAGCGACTTCGTATCTGTTACAGTTCGCAAAATCTCAATGGTGAGGGTCGAATTTGAAACACCCTGTATACACTATATATACTATTCGTCAGCACATTTGAGTGATTGCAGACTTGTCTGGTATTAACAATATTGCAATCCTGAACCATGTAATGTTTGTTGTGTTTTTGGTTACAAATCTGATAAGAAATAGCTGCTACATTGTGTCTCAAAGGTGGATTATGGAATTTCACATTTAATAATAACTATGTCGCTTGGGATGTTCAAGTGCTGTAAGAATATGGAACTTACTTGTCTTGTTTGCATCGCATACTTCAAAGTATTTCACAAGAGTTGCCTTGAACCGAAAGAGTTCGTGACTATTGATAAACACAAAATAATATGTAGCAATGAAGCCTCAGAGTTACAAATTATGTTTGCCAGGGGCAAACGAGAGTTTTTAAGAAATCACTTTATTCGCTGTAAATCTAACAAACACTCCTATAGTGTATTGCTATATGATTACAAAAGACAAGGATACAGTAGTTTTTATAAAGTTAACAAGAAAAAACAGACTCTTTTCGAAGAAGCATGGCGGACGTGTTAAGTTACAGGTGGCGTGATAAATTCCAACGTCTCCGGTAACGATGCTACAGCGATGTGAACTAACGTTATGATACAATATGATAATTTTTATATAGAGTGAGCCAAGGTACATAACTTACATGAACTAGATATAATAGATATATTGAAAGAAGAAATATCAGGGCTTAAGAAGGAGTTAAACTAAATAAAAAAATGCATTCATTGAAATAACAAAGGAGACAATTCAAAGCATTTGAAGATGACTCAATGGAAATTGAAACATAATATTCATAGCAGCTTCAATCTTGGGATCTCCAAATTCAAACACTTGATCAACAGCTACTGGAAGAATAAAATAAAGTTATATAACTCCAGAAAAAGTATGATGAAGATATGAATTGATGCAAAAATGAGTCTGATACCAAAATAAAAGTGTTAATTCAAGAACTATCACATGAAAGACGTAAAAATATGGGTACTAACAACCAGCCAAAAACAGTAAGCCATGGAAGTCTGAGTCTCGTGGAAGTCTTACTAAGAACCTGCTAGATGAGTTAGAACAGACTGAAAATCATCGAGAACTTGTACTCTCATCGCAAGTAGGAAATATACTAAGTGACATATAAATCCGAACACCCAGTTTAAATGGTTTTATTTTAATAAAAGTTGGTGAATGTATTTCTCCTACTATAAATAACAAGTGAAAAAATTTTCAGTCTTATCAGTTGGACATTCCGGTTTTTATACTGCTTTTTTTTAATTCACTAAAGCTCTAAAAATGAATATTTCAGCCGCAGTAAAGAATCAACGTTGGCGGATTTTGGTTCTTGACATCCTTTACGATCGGTTACGATGCCTAGAGTACGGAGACCTGTACGATTTCGTCAACTTAGTGAGTTTGATAGGGGCCGTATAGTGGGACTTCGGGAAGCTGGACTTTCTTTTCGGGCAATTGCAGTTAGAGTGCAAAGAAGTGTAGACACTGTGGTTAGGTGTTGTCAGGCATGGCTTCGAGAAGGCCGTACGCAAAGAGCAAGGGGCACTGGACGCCGCCGTAGAACAACAGACCGTGAAGATTGCCGCCTAAGATTATTGGCCTTAAGGGACCGTTTCTCCACTACCAGGTCCATTGCAAATGAATGGTTTGCAGAACACGGAAGACCTATTGGCATGCGAAGTGTTTACCGACGAATGAGAAGTTTTGGCTTGTTTTCATACCGGTCACACTGGGCCCTCCCTTTAACTCGAGAACACCGACGTAATCGCCTTGAGTGGTGCAGACAACGGTCACTGTGGGATCAGGAATGGAACAGTATTGTCTTTAGTGACGAGTCTCGATTTTGTTTAGGCATGCACGATGGTCGTGCCAGGGTTAGAAGGCGACGTGGTGAAAGGAGGAATCCACAGTTTTTTGTTGAAAGACATGTTCATCACACTGTTGGAGTTATGGTTTGAGGTGCTATAGCTTATGGTTCCAGGTCACCTTTAATCTTCATCAGAGGTAACATGAACGCGTAGCGTTATATCCACGAAGTTCTAGAACCCCATCTTTTACCCTGTCTTGACACCCTGGCAGATCCAACTTTCCAACAAGATAATGCCCGACCACATGTTGCAAGAGTCATAATAGACTTCTTTCAACATAATGATGTCACATTGTTACCATGGCCACCAAGATCTCCCGACTTATCCCCAATTGAGCACGTGTGGGATATGATGGGTAGGAGATTGCTCAATTTACAACGTCCTCCTCAGACTCTAGAAGCACTTCGAGAGGAGTTGGTGGTTGCCTGGAATGAGATACCACAGGAGGACAAGAGGACATTGACCACCTGATCAGAAGCATGCCTAGGCGCGTTGGAGAATGCGTAGCACATCAGGGTGCATCCACACATTATTAAAGGTCAAAGGGCTTTAAAGCAGTGCAATCATTTTGAAATTTTTATCATTTACTTATTATGCTTCATTAAGTACTTATACAAAATTTTATTAAAATAAAACCATTTAAACTGGTATAGTAACAAATCTCAAACAGTGGCTTGGAAGGGGCTTCATCTAGATATCGAATTTAAAAATGATATAAAGAAAGAAGTTGAGATCTGGGTTGACAGAGAATTAATAAAAAGAGCCATCTGGAACTCATAGTGTGGATGCTACCTAGCAGAGTCTCTTATACAAACCTATTCAGAAGTTATTAAACATAAATCAAGCTAAACTAGCATAAACAAACTACGAAAAAAATCTCAGATCACAGATAACAAACAGACCATTGACAGTAGTAGTAGTTCGGAGGCGAAGCCAGGTAAGTAGGCCCCCTTTGGCTCTTTTTACTAGGGCAGACACTGAGGATAGGAGTCGAAGAGAGATACTGAAAACAGTCATCAAAGGCAGACATTGAAGAGAGACACCATAGACAGACACGGAAGGCAGACATCGCATATACACACTGAAGAGGGTCTCCAAAGACAGACATTGAAGACAGTCATCATAGATGGAATACCACAGACATGGAAGTCATACACCAAAAGACATCAAAGACAAACATTGAATACAGACCTCGAAACTAGACATTGAAGACAGACATCAAATACAGAAGACTGATACTTAAGACGAACATAGAAGACAGAAGCTTCTTGATCTTGGAAAAAGGGACATTGTGTCGGGGTTTGAACCCCGACTCATAGCCTAGCAAAAATTTTGTGAGTTGTGCTAAGGCAAGGGTCTTGAGCGCCATTTATAAAACGGTAGCGTAACTAAAAATATTTCCATTTTGAATTGTTTTTTGGTAACGTGTTTTCACTATAGTTTCAGATGATTTGTACCTGTCAATCGATATTCGAAAATCGGTTTTTCATCAGATATGTAGAAAAAAGGTAGAGAACAGGTGAAACTATCATTCTTTTTCAATATCCTCTATATTATCACATAAAATTAAAAAAAAAACAACGGATTATTTTTGTTCAGTACCCTAACGCAATATCTTCAGCCCTTTAATCTTCTGCGAGGCCTTTTTCTTATCAGCCGGCTGATTGTCCCTTTGTTGGGACCCTTCGTTTGGGCCTCCTCCTGCGGCCCCTCCAGCCTCCTCTGGTCCCCCCGCTCCTCCGCCGCCTCCGTCAGCGCGCTCCTGCATTTGCGCTTTCAACGCCTTCTTGATGTTCACTATCTCAGACTCGACATCTGCGCGACGTTGCACCGCTTTGTTGCGCGCGGAATTGGCGCGCTGGATTTGAGATTCCACGCAGCCTAGGACACCTGAAAAAAGGATTTACTACAGCAAACATTTTCTTAAAATGATATTCATACAGGGCAATCCAAAAGTCCCGGAACGAAAGTAAATAGGGTTTAGTATTTTTCCTTAGCTATGTAGTGGTGTCTTTAAATTTGACATTAAACATTACCTTGAAGGACAACTGATGGTCAATACGATTTTTTTTAAAATTATATTATATTTTTGACTTTCGAATAGAACCAGGTATACACGTACAAGTATGAAATGCGGATTTTTTTATTCAAAATACGAGCCATTGCTTTTTATATAGTATCTTTCGGGCAATTCGTTGAAAATACCACGCCAGTAAAAATCTTTTGCTGTGAACCAGTCACTGAGCCAGTTTTTCACATCTTCGTACGAACCAAAGTGCTGTTCAGCAGGTGCGTGACCCATCTATGCAAACAAGTGGTAATTGCTAGGAGCCAAGTCTGGTAAGTAATTCGCATGGGGTAAAAACTTCCCAGCTGAGTGCTTTCAACGAGTCGCAAATCGGTTTTGCCGCATGTGATGGAGCATATCATGAGAAAAAATGACCTTGTGTTGCCTCTTTCGGTATTCTGCTCTTGCTGCAAGCAGCGCATGGTTCAAATGGGTCCATTGTTGTTGATAATGGTTGGTATTAACTGTTTCCCCAGGTTTCAGCAGCTCATAGTAGATCACGACCCTCTGGTCCCACCAAACACAGAGCATGGTCTTTTTTCCGAAGCGATTTGGTCTTGCGGTCGATGTGGATGGTGCCCCTGGGTCTACCATGATTTTTTGCGTTTGGGATTCTCAAAATAAATCTATTTTCCATCCCCTATAACTATGCGATGCAAAAACGACTTCCTTTTATACCGGGCGAGCAAAATTTCACGTGTGATTTTGCGCTTGTTGCGCTTTTCCATTTGTCGGTCATTCAACTGATGTGGTACCCACCTACCGGTCTTCTGAATTTTTCCCATCTCTCGTAGGCGGTTGGAAACTGCTTGTTAACTAACGCCTAATTGCTCTGCAAGTTGTCTTTGAGTTTGAGAGTCGTATTGGTCCAACAAAGCTTGCAATTCCCGATCTTAGTATTTGTTGGAGGCTTTCCATGTTCTTTGTCTGCGACATCGAAGTCACCGCTTTTGAAGCGTCAAAACCGTCTTTCACACGTATCTTGCTATACCATAAGCTTAAAAATTAATGCCGTCCGTAAGTGCTCTTTGTTCGGTATAAATTTTGACATTTCGAACAAAACAAAACACCACTATGTACATACTTTTTCAATTTCTCACTCGTGTGCCTCTGACGCGTACTGATGGTGCATTATCGGATCTTTATAGTACAAACCGCATTGGTGCGCCATCTGCTGTCTGGAATCCGCATTTCATACTTGTACACCTGGTACGTTCAGATATGACCTTGGGTGAACATTACTTAAATGCTTAGGTCATCATAGAGATTCTCGTGCAGAAAATTTCAGGGATCTTTCTAAAGTTAAAGCATAAATAATGTCGCAGGCAGCAGAAACTCCAGTTTTCCCCAGGTAATGACCTGAAAACTGACCTTTACCATGACCTTGACCGTCGAATCAATGTAGAACTTTCTTCAATGGTACCCTATAGTTTTGACCTCGGAAATAGAACAAAAAATTTTACCTTTTCTTGTAACCTTGGCTGAAGCTTATTACTATCCTTAACTGCCCATGTTTCCAAAATAAGGAGTTGAGGACATCCAGGGCCTCAGTTTCTCCTTCTACACACACATTACTCATTCATAATGAAGTCACATTTTTTTACCATCAATTATTCAGGAAGGAAAGACCGAAGGTCTCTAGGCAGCTTGAGATGGGAAAGTGACAGTTTCATTTTCCAATCACCATTTCTGTCAGAAAAGAATGGCATGATGAATGGTATGAAAGAACTGTCACATAAGGACTGTCCAAAGAGTGCAGTTCCAAATTTGAGGAAGAAAAAAGATCATTTGAAATCTCATGTTCATGAAACTTTTAAATCAATTTTCTGCATCATATTAATACACATGACCGCCCATATAGCAGGGAAGGGGGGTTGTTGTGCATAATATCTTCTATGTTGGAATGTCCCACTTCTTACCCAAGGATTGGGTATCTTAATAAGAATTTAAGAGTATTTCACTTTGAAGCAGAATCCAGGGGGGGCATGCCCCCCAATGGTTAATACAGCATTCTTTTATATGTTGATGTATACAGCCTTACCATCACAAGATGAGCACCAATCCTGCAAACAATTGACAATAACATCAATATCCTTAGGTCTAATGTCCCTTCCAATAGCATAGTCCACTTCCAACTGTGAATTCTTCTGGTCAAGTTTGCCACGAACTATGTCTGCATAGATAGCTTCAATGATGAGATCTTCTAAATCACGCACATTGCTGATGTCTAACTCCTGTAGCAAGGTGTTGTAAGGGATACGTTTTGATCTGAAAAACAATATCGGCATCTTGAAAAGACTATAATTCATACAGCTATATGAAAAAATATGGCTGATAGGCCAAGACAATAGTACCTTTGTGGTTTTACAGGGAACTGTCCCACAATGTTTTGATCGATCACAGTAGGTGCTGCGCATTTCAGAACCACTTTGCAATTATCTATTGTCAAATTTAGACCAGTTCTGGGATAGAGTTCCTCAATTGTAAAACAAAGATGTCATGTTAACAGCTAGAATTTGTATAAGTTCAAGTGATCTAGAACGACAAGCATAATCCTTGTGTCAATGTTGATCATATGGACTACAGTAAATACTGATTGTAAACTGAAATGCACTTACTTTGTGGCCAAAGTAACAATAGTCAGATGTTGCAACTTTTTCCTCTGCGGAGCTGATAGCTCAGGTAGCAATGCTTTGTTTGTCAAGTAATCTTTGTAGGTGCCAAAGGCGAACAATTCGAGGGCATCCAAGTACTTCTTGTCTGTAGGTGATTCAGCTAATTCTTGAATGTTGGGCATGTCTAGCAGTTCACCAAAAACGTACACTCCGGGGGCCTCTAAAGCTTGCTTGATTAGCTCCGTACAGCCGGCACCCCGGGCGCTTTTCGCGAGCAGTACGAACTGCTCCAGAGCATGGTGGTTGCCTCCTAGGGGACTCTTGTCGACCACCATTCCTGTAGGTGGGAAATTACTGAGAATTAGAGCACCACTACTTCAAAATAATCAAAATTGCATCAATAAGTTCAACAAATTCAACTTGACATTGACGTTTGATAGTGACAGTCATGACTCCTGACAAATAATCACTACTTGTCAATTGGGAATGCTAGGGACTGCTGATACTCAAAGTGTACTCGCAGTAGTTGGAATGCTTCAGCAGCGTTGCCAAATTAGGCAAATTTTCTTGATTTTGAGGATTGTGGTTGTAAATACAGTGTGGCAGTAATTTGTAGCAAAAGCAAATAAGTCAATATAACTTGTCTAGTCGAGAAACGGTGCATTACTAGGTGTTTTAAATACAATGTACGTATATATGTACTTTATATAAAAATCTCATTGTAGATGTAGAGCAAAAAAAAGCGGACGTAGGTTGAATATCCCATTTAGGACCAATATTTCTGAAGGCAAGAGAGTAGAATCACTGAGAGACAGTAGGATTGGCTCTCTTGCCTATTGGGGAGCTGTATTGCTAAACAGAATAAAAAATAGCCGCCCAGCTGTGAGCCGTTCTCTGGAGGATAAGACCGAAAATTTTGCCGTCGTCCATCTGTCTGTAACATTGTGTTGAAACGTTATATGATATGAAGAACCTATGAATATGTTATTTTGCCGAAAATGGATACAAAATGTGGATGCTGCGTCGGACAGCAAAAAAAATTGCGGGAATTTGGTAACAATTGAATAGCAGATAATGGCAACAGAGTGACATCTGTATCTTGAAAACTAGGGTTCTACGAGATGCGCTTCTGGAACTGAATCCACTACAGACAGGAATTATAGCCAATTTCACAACGCTGTTCAGTGACTACGCGTTCACTGCGTTTTCGCTACGAGTATAGGAATTCCTATGGTAATTGAAAAACTAGCTTGAGGTACGGAATGTGTAAATAAGAGCTCCTGTTGTTATTTTATTGCAGCATTGCCAAGTTGCATATTTTTACGGCTTTCTTGTTACATTACACAATTCTACCTCGAATACATAATATTCTGATTTAACTCGTGGAACACTTCGAAGCAAGGACATTTGTCAACATTATTCGTCTCCATTTATAAATGGAGTATCATGTAATTATTCAATAGGTTGTTGAATAAAATATTAAAAAGGCTCATAGGTGGCTGTTTGAACAGTTAAAGGGTATACTATTATTTATTAAAATAGAAAATTCTATACCATTAATGTCGGCATACACTTTGTTTTAAAACGTACCAAAAAAATAAAAAATGCAAAACTTTATCGACCGTGACAGGACTCGAACCTGCAATCTTCGGATCCGAAGTCCGACGCCTTATCCATTAGGCCACACGGTCTGCGCTTAATATTTTCTTAAATGACGTACAGACCTCAGAGACAATACGAGTGGCTTACGATGTTTTGTCATTCACTAGCGATTTTTTTTATGCCAGTGATTATAAAGCTAGCGTACAAATATAAATGACGATAACAAGTCATGTTTAATGATCATTGGATGAAGATTCTACGATATAAGAAGTTTGTTGTTAAGAGTCGAGTTTTCTAAACAGGTAATAATTTTACCGCATTCACCATTTTTTTAAAAACGTAGGTCACCTCCTCCATTTTTTAAATTCAAACCGAGGCAGCCATGCCACACTGACTTTACTTCGAGAAATATGAAGTTATAAGTTTTATGCAAATCCTGAAATCACTTGTCTTGCATAATCTCGATTGAAATGCCCCAATAGGTTTACATTTTAAGGTGTATAGATTTGGTGGCAACATAATCGAAAAAATATAAGGCATTTTGGTAAACTAAATTCATTTTTGAAAAATACTATAGCTTGGTGTATTATTGAAAAGTTGTGCGTAAAAGTTCTGTTTTTTTTATTAGGACTGTGTCAGATGCGTTCTTTATTTCATAAGAATTCTGAATGTTCCTGAAGACTGAAGAAGGTCACAAGCCACATATATCAATTTATTTGGCCAAAAAGTACATAACAAAATTGTATATTACTGACATCTAGAGGCATTAAAGTTGTTTGCGGTCTACGATAGTCGTTCTCCGTGATGATCAGACCAGAGCGTAAATCGGGGCTCTACTTCACCGCGAATACAATATAGCGTCAGGTAGGGTGATAATTATGGTTATGTCTGTACAAAAGTTTATATTGTCAGCTATTCTTAATTTTTAGAGGATTGTATTATTTTTAGTTCCTTATGTTTATGTGTGCATATGTGTTTTTTACCTTATTTACCTATGTATTTATTCCTGACATGTCTTATATCAGATTAGCAGACAAAACAACTACTATTACTACTACTCTGCACTTCCCACGCAATGCCGTTTCCACTTTGCAAACTAGAGCGTAGAGCCTCTGACAAAAAAGTCGCCTCGCTCAGATACTTAACTCGGTCAGATATGACAGCTCTATCAGACCATAGGAAACACCGAAACACATTGATATGGCGCGAAGAAATAGGTGTGATACCATACCCGAACAACGGAACACTCACCAACGCCAGCCGTATGACGCCGGAAGCAGCAGCGGCCGGTAGGTACACAATCCGTCTGCTGAGAATATTTTTAGGTTTTAAGAGCTAATGTAGAGAGAAATCTATGATACTATTCGTCATTTGTTTGTCTGTGCGGTCCGTAGGATCTTTGCCCATTAGTCACTGTCTAATGTACGTTAGTCGAATCTGTCAGTCCTGGTTGCCCAGAAAGCAGACAATGTCAAGGAAAAAAAGAAAGGGAAAGAGAAGAAAAAATGAGAACAGCAAAGAAAAGCAGAAGTGTTTAGTTTAAAAGGAAACACCTAGGCTTTTTGACTTGGTACACGGATTAATTTTGAAGTGAACTAAACAAAGTTTGATTCGGTTTTGTTAGAGTGTAATTTTAAGTTTACTAAAAGTTCGCGCTAATTTTTGATCAAAGTGCGAGCCGTGGCCTTGAATGCTTACGAACTTGCTCCACTGTGTAGTCCACTGAGCCACGCAGCAGAGGGTTGCTGTGATTCTGCTTGACTATAACGTCGCTGCGCCTGAAGCTTGACATGATCCCTCACGTAAGGAATGTCAAGGACTCTGTGTAGTATCTCGTTTGACACATACCATGGAGCGTTTCAAATTGTCCGGAAAGTTCTGCTTTGCAGCACTTGAAGACTTTGCATGTGTGTCTTGGCAAGAACACACCAAGCCGCATATGCACAGGTAATGGCTCGTCTCATAATCATTTTATATGCGAACTTTGTTTATCAAACTCAATTTGGAGGATCTACATGAAAAAGGATATAGTTGCCGAAACGCAATTTGGAATTTTGTTTTCAAGGCTGCTGTATGTTTGTGCCAGGTCATGCGTAAATCAAGAGTGACAGAGAGATATTTGGCAGAATTTGTCCATGGTACACGATTGCCGTCCACAGAACCCTCTGCTGGGGGGCCGCTACGTTTTTAGGTACAATAAATAGCCTGCGTTTTCGAATCACTAATTTTAATCAGCCACCGTTCCGCCCATTCCAGTATTTCGTCTACCGCACTCTGCAACCCATCGTGAACAAGATCACCCAGTACACGACTGAGCGATAAGTGCAGTGTCGTCAGCATAGAGGTAGACTTCACAGTTGCTGGGGCAAAGGACATCATGGATGAAAAGCGAATAAAGGATTGGTCCTAGAGCCAAGCCCTGAGGGAAACCGGCCCGTACTGGCCGTGTTGTTGACAAAACATTGTTGAATTTGATCCAATACTTTCTTTCTTCAAGAAAGGATTTCACTAATTTTAGAAGCCAAAAAGGAAAACCCTTTTAGATTAGTTTATAGAATGATGTGTGAAATATGTCTAATAGGTGCATAGAATTACCAAGGTAGGGAGTGTATAAATGTAATAACACCAAAAAATTACGATGAACCTTCTTACAACCGCCATCCAGATTTTTGCCTTTCAATTTTTTTTTAAAATTCATGAAGATCATCTGAAACGTCAAAAAACGAAGTTTGAGCTATTTCTACTTCGTTTTATGAATTTTCCTCTGCTTTCAAAAACTATAAAGATTTTGCGTCCTTGGCAAAAAATTCATCGCAATCTGCGCGGTACTTCTCAAGTTATAGGGGGTTATAAGATTAGGTGACAGACCGTCAGACCTTCGGAAATGAGTGATATGGTTTTTCGTGATGTACATGTCATATAACATCCAAAAAACATTTTCGAACATTTTCGTGATTACAATACTTACGCCAGCAGGCGGCAAAAGTAAAATTGAAGGGGGGGGGGACTTGCTGCCCTGTACACACTAATTCTGTGCTACATCCCTAATCGGATACGATGTAAAACAGGCCTAAAACCATTGATTAATGTAATTTATCTAAAGGTAGGCAATGTAATAATACTATACTCGCGCGTCCGAAAAATTATCTGAGATAAAATGAGATGCCGTGGCGTCATCTGTGAAGATACTTTGAAAAGATTAGCGTCTCGTAGATGGCGCTGAAGCCTGTAGGTATAGGAGGTCTGTAAATTAAGTGATGAGACTCAAAATAACTTGCTTCGGAATCCACACAGCGCTGGAGATGGCTCTTCTACTCCTCATTGTAGTGCTGGAACTTCGACAATAGAATAGCCTTCAGCTCGTCGGTTACAGCCGTTTGAATATTTTCGGCTGTCTCAAAATGAGTTCCTTAGAGGTGATTTTTCAACTTCGGAAAGCGAAAAAGGACACAAGGACTCAAGCCAGGCGAATAAGGAGGCTGAGGAGCCACAGGAATGCTTTTACTGGAAGCATTATCATGATGCAACAACCAAATTGTTCTTGATCTGGTGAATTGTGGTGTGAGTCAAATGTATCATTCTGACTGTCAACCGACGATCTGAACGCACAAGATGCCGGATTCTGTCGATATTTTCATCGGTTCTTGAAGAAGGCCGTCCGCTTTGTGGTTTATCTTCAATCGACTCTCTCATTTCTGAAAATGACTTAAACCACCGAAAAACCTGGACCCTTGATAAAACACTATCTCCATAGGCCTGCTGGAGCTTATCAAGAGTTTCTGTTGCACTGTGCCCAAGTCTGAAGCAAAACCTGATAGCACACCGTTGCTCGAAATTGATGTCACTCATTTTTAGAATATAATAGAAGGAACTG